TGCATGTAATTAGCTTGATTAATACAACAACGTTGTTTAATAGTTTCTTTTGCCCTTTCCATCGCCTCATACAAATATCCTGCAGTTGAACCATCTCCATCAACCAAACGAAGAACTCTAACTAAAGGCTCCAGAGTTTGTATTACTTCTTTCCCTTTACTCCAAAACTCAACACTTTGAATAATACTAGCAACCTTTAGTCCCATCCCTCTTTTGTTGTAATCCAACCCCCTCCATTCAGAAGATGCCACAAGTAATCACAATCCATCTTCAACTTCTAAAATTGATTGAACCATCAAAAAATTGGAGGCAAATCTAGTCGCACAAGGATGTTTGAGTTCTTTATTATTTGTGTGCTCTCTCATTAATGACAAAATAATAATGTGCTTGTACAAATATGTCACAATTAATTTTGCATCATCAATAATATCATGTATCCACAAAACTTCAGAATAAATATCTTTCGATAGTAGCTGAATCCCATGAGCAGCACATCGTGTTTTATACATACGAGGGTACTTACCAATAAGCATGTCACCAGCTGATTCAAAATTTGATGCATTATCAGTAATGAATTGCACAGCGTGATTAGGTCCAATATCTTCAATTATTGATGACATAATATCTTTTAGATAAACACCTATTTTTTTATCCTTTGAAATTTCAAATGAATTCATAAATACTGCCCCACCAGGTGAATATGCAATTATGCTGATAAAGGCACGTTGCTTCATATCACTCCATATATCTGACATTAGTATGCAACCTGTAGCAACCCAAGTTTTCTTCACAGTCCCGATGTATGCCTCTACTTTTGTCTTAGAATCTAGTATTAGCTTTGTGCGTAAAGTTGAGTAACTAGGTAATTTGTATGTTAACCCAAATTCAGCAACACTTTTCATGAAATCAATAAAAGATTGAGTCTGAACCACATTAAATGAAATATTATTCAAAATAATGTGCTTGGCAAGTTTTTTATCCACCTCACTCTTGTCCATCTTCTTAATTGTTTCTGGCATGGTAGATTGTTGTAAGCCCTTTGAAGATGAAGAGGAAAAATTAACAGACCCACCTTGCTCAACATTAATTGGGGTAACTGTAGTTTTATTTTTTTTGTTCGGACCACCAATTGCTAAAAATGCAGCTGCTTGAACCTCTTGAGGTACTTTTGAACAAATTTCAATGCCTCTACCTTTTACCCCAGATAAGTGTGATTTGACTTTTGAAATACCTCCAGGATAGTTTAAGTTACAGTACTTACAAATGAAACGACCTTGTAATTGTTCAACGTGATCCCAAAATGCATCCCTCTTTTTTCCCATCTTTCCTTAATAGCCTATATATTTATAATAAATTCATAAGTATATAATGTGATACTCTACTAAAACATCTAGGGAGTGTGGTGATTTACAAACTTCTAAAATAATAACAATAAAGATACAAACAAAATTTAAAAAATCTCACAACAAAATAAAAAAATCTATAAATATCTACAAACATCAATAAAAACTTATAATTCTTCAAGATTATAGTATTCCACAAGTATATATATATATATATATATTTCATTATTTTGATTAATGATCATACAATGGAGTGACAACAATAAGAGATTAAAAAAAAGAAAGTGATACCTTGAATGTAGAACAACTGAGTGAGAGAATGGTCACAACCTTCCCCAAGATTGCACAACAAATAATATTATTTTGATAGCGCGAAAGATAATGGTTATAGAAGCAAAAAAAGGGTAGAAAAGACAGTAATTTGTATTTCAGAAAAATAGGTTATTAGAAGCGTGAAGTTTGTGAACGAAAAGAAAAGAAAAGAAAATAATTAGGTTACGAATTAAACGGAGCGACTAAAACGAATAAACGCGTTAGATACGAGGTAATGAAAAAAACGCATATTTTACTGTATCTTTCAACTCTAATCGACAAACGAAAATATTTTTTCAAAATTCGTACGTACGCGTTTAATTCGCGTATCATACGCGAATTAACTAACTAGGCTTCCTTGGTCCATATGCTTTAAAAGGGTTTAACAATCCAACATTTGTCACAAATTGCACGTCTTCGTGAATTTAATATTCAAATATTAATCATTAATGAATATATAACAAACCAAATAAAGATATCCATAAAAAATATATATATAATAATAATCATAAATAAATAAAAATCACCCAAGAAACCAGATATCAATCCACTTATAAACCAAGAATTACAAAGACCAGGTCACCACCATAATCAAGAATCAAAGTCTACATTCATGAAAGCAATTACGAATCAAATAGGATAAATATTTATATGGGTGAATCAGAAAGTGATAAATAAGTAAATGTGTCCATTTTTAATCAGCTTGTTGTTTGTGTTGCTTCCTGATTGGTTGGGACTAAGTAATAATTTCTTCTTCACCAGTGTGTTAAAGTAATTGATGTGGCCCAATAACAAGAAGTCATCTTTAGTTATAAAATCAAAAAAAAATTATAATTATAGAAGCGTTCATATGTTATTGGTCACATTAGCAGTGAAGATAGAGTCAATATGGTTTCCAAGTATATAAAACAAAAAGTATCATCAATAATCTTTCTCCTCACTTAACATCCTAAAAATACAAGTGAGCCCAAAAGGGTAGTGTCATCAAAATAATGTAAGGCTATGTTTGACGGCATGTAATTGGTGCCTTGGAATTGGAATTAAAATTGGAGAAATTTTTTATTCAATTTTGTGAGTTGTTTTTTTTAATTCAACCAATTCGAATTCTAAAACCCTAATTCCACGCCTACCAAACATAACCTAAGGCATCCCTATGTCCAAAAGTTCAAGCCAAATATTCAGCATGGCAAGAAAACACCATTCAGGGCTCATTTTAGAAAAGTCAGATATTCAAACAGAAGCAGACTCATCAAACAACCAGTTGGAGATGTAAAATTAGGTAGAACACCTTTTTCAAAAATATTTAAGTCCTAGGAATAATGATAGATGGTTGGTTTGTAGGAAATGGGCTGACATTACTTGAAATCCTGACCTCCTTTTGAAATCCTGACCTCCTTTTGACATTACTTGAAATCCTGACCTCCTTTTCTTTCCTTATTTTATATATATTTTTTCCTATAATAGGTATATAATTTTTGAAAATGTGTAAAAGTGCCCCCCTCAAATTTCTCCTTCCCTTATATACTCTATATGTTTTCTTAAAAAAAATTCTTAAATTGTTTCATTATATTCTATATATGTAATTTATTGAATTATCTCATTCCAAAAATATCAATCTCTATCTATATTTATCCAACTATTTCTCTTTATGTATATATACTTCATAAATATTAATTTATATTTATTTAGTGTATAATATGTCCCCTGAACAAAAATTCTGGCTCCGTCCCTGTTATTAGGCCACTGACCCCTTAGTGTCTGACATTTTATTTCATTCTACTGTAACACAGTTCTTTCATATCAATTCAGCACTTAGTTTAATGTAGTTAGTTTATCATAATTGTACTTTCGTTAGATGTTACTGTGTAATTTTTCTTCGGTTACTGCAATCCCGTTTACTTATTCTCTGTTCAAGCACTATAGTTCTTCCACCATTTTCACAATTCCGAAGTCCTTGAAAAAAGTAAAAAAGAATCTATAAATGGTGGTCATTCCTGACCCTTTTTCGCAATCGCCAAAATCCTCTACTAAAGTGCGTAGATACTATCATTTTAAGTGGTCATCTTATCTTTTCAATTGTCCCATTAAGACTTCAACCCGTGAATAAAAATCTTGTCCTGCGCTACCAGCCGATGAGTAAAATTGAGAAAGGTAAAATATTGAAAAACAAAATTTTTGTATCAGTATGCCAAATTTGAGACGTCTAACAAAATAAATCCTTTTATTTGTTCTCATTGACTACATCATTTAGAAATTTGAACGATTCTTCTTCATTTCTAGTGATTCTAGAGTTAGAGATTCGTGTATTATTTCAGTTGGGTTATCAAATCATAAAAAATAACACGCGATACATGTTATGAGAAGTTGAGATGTCATGTTAATTCGGGTTTGATTCATGTCATGTTTTTTTTATTTAAGTCACGTAAAATTAACATGTGATACATGCTACAAGAAAGTAAGTTGGGATGTCACATATAATTCGCGTTTGAAACACATTACGTTTAAATTATTATTTTTTAAAAAAAAAAACTTTATAACAGGTTACGTTTAAGTTGTTACGTTAGGTTAAAAGTTTCATGTAATACATGTTAGAAAGTAGGAATGTAATTCGTGTTTGAAACACGGTTAAGTTTAAGTTGTTATGTTAAAAACTTTACATCATACATGTTACGAAAAAGTTAGAACGTCACATATAATTCGTGTGAGAAAAAAAGTATATAAAAAGTATATTTATTTATGTATTTGTATATTAAGTCAAGGCAATGAAATTTTGAGGATTCTGATCCATATCCCTCACCCGTGGAAAAGACGCTTCGTGTGAGAAAAAGAGAGTATATAAAAAGTATATTTATTTATGTATTTGTATATTAAGTTAAGGCGATGAAATTTTGAGGATTTTGATCCTTATCCCTCACCCGTGGAAAAGAGGCTGAGAGCAGTCTCTTGCTTATTTGATTTCACAAGGCTAAAATAATAATATTTTTTAATAGAGTATAAAAATAATTTTGTCAAGTCTCTTGATCATTTGAACTCGCAAGGCTAAGATAATATATTTTAATGGAGGGTATAAAAACAATTTTGTCAATTATTGAGACATCATATCCCTAACACGTGATTTAACTCAGGTCAGGAATTGTGCTGTTCGTGGAAAAAAGACTTACGTTGTTGGTTGTGATTGCCCTATGATTACGCTAAAAACCCAAAAGATCATTGGACACTATGCTCCCAGAGGTTTTCAAAATGTTCGGGGCAGGCTGAAACAGAGCCTCACTATGCCGTTTTCCCATTACAGCATTTGAAGTGATCTCTGCTGTGTGTGTGTGTTTGAGTGTGTGAAGCCCAAAAAACAAAAAAAAACTTTTAGATGCTTTTTCCACTAAAGGTTGATCACCAACAATCATCAACACTGCAGCGCCAAAAGAACCAACACAAATAACAAATCCAAGCACATTTCCTTGTCCTTTTTCTTTTTTTTATTTTATTCTTGGACTCCTCTCTGGCACAACCTACAGAGAGGGAGAAGAAACAAACTGTCTGGGTAAACTAAAAAGGTCTTTCTCTTCGAAGGGAGAAGCCCACTCACGCGAACCACCGGCAGATGTTTCAGACGACGCTACTCCATCCTGCAAACCCGCCATTGGAACACCATTCCCGTTGGACAAAGGTGGTCTCATGGCAGTCTTAGCGCTCACTCTGGAATTATAGGAATCAAACACATGAGTGTTGTTTTGCATAACAGAACTCATGCCCTGCCACATCTCGATTGACCTTGGGCCAGAAGTACCCCGATCCAAAGTCCAGTCTATGTTAGAGTAATCCAACTGCAGTATTGAGCCACCAGTGTTCCAGTCTACAGGTGATGATGACCCTGATGAACCATTTGAACCCAAACCTGAGAAAAGTCCAAGAGAGGAAGCCGCTGCAAGTGTAGGAGATGTACGCATTCTACCATTTGCTCGGGCTGATACTGGGGACTCCATTGAGCTACTACTAGACACAAAATGCTGACGTTGATACTGGAGTTGGTTATACAACTGATTAGAACCTAGATCGTTTGGGCTAAGGCTTCTAGTGCTGGGAATTTGTGGTAAAAATCCATTAGGCTTCATTGTTTCTATACTGGCAGGATACCAATTACTGGCCGTCCCTGGAGGGGATGAGCTTATGCTCGTCGCAGGGGGCTGCTTTGTATTGAGTTGTTGGGGTCGTTGCATCACTACAACTGGTTCCCTCACTGCTCCCAGCTGAAGGTTCTTCAATTCATTTCCAACTGCCGCATATCGGGTTTCCATCTTGGCTGGTGCAGCTGTTGCCTGCAAAGGAGATGCCACAGAAAAAGAAACTGAAGGGTTTGATCCTGAACTCAACCATCTTTTCTCTGCTGGCATTGCAGTTTGTTGCGGTTTTGCCCACTCCATTTTTGGCTGAGCTCTCCTTGAAGGCTGTACGTTTTTGCTCATGGATTCCACAGAAGTTGTGGCCACAACGGATGATTTTGTATAATTGAAATCTTTGTCATCCCGTTTCTGTTGCATGGTAGTAGACGAATTGTATTTTGGTTGTGCCCTCAATAAATTCTGACTAAAATCTACTGAAAGCTTGCCACTAGTAACAGTTGGAGGGTCACCAGTTTCTTCTTGCTTCTGTGCGGCAAACTGTGGGTCATTCTTCTGCACCCTCAAGGTTTCTGCTGCTTTCTCAAGATCACCCTCACAGGCAACAACCGCTCTTTCAACCTCCTGCTTAGAGCAGTTATATGTAGTCTCCATATCTGCAACCCGTGCTAGCTCCTCCGATATGTCAATTTTTAAATTGCTCCCACCATCAAGGTTGTGCTCCCAATTTTTATCTGCTTCTTCACTCCCTTCAAATAGCCATGCCACTGATTCCTCTACTTTGCCTTCATTCAAAATAAGAGCCATTGTTGCCCGTTCTGAAGAAAATCCCATTGCCACTAGCTGTTGAGCAAGTGCTTCCAGCTTTCTAGACATGAGATAGCCACTACATCGCTCATGCAACTCTTGGGCTCGCCTCTCTTTCTGACGCTGATGCTTCCTCTCGTTTTTTTGACGGATTTTTTCTCGCTTGTCATTTTCAGCTCCTGGTATGGCCTCTTGACGAAGAGGAGGATGAGATACTTTATCTTTGTGATCTTCTGACTCGCCAGACCAGCTACCATTGTTGGAAACAGTATCGCACTCAACCACAGTTCCAAATGAGTTCCCAAGATGGTCATCTGTCTCATCTATGTTCTGGAAACGACCATTTACATGAAGAGGTTGAGTAGAAGCTACCGGTGCTGTCTCAAGTGTATGGAATGTTCCCAAAAGTGGATTGTATCCACTAGCTGCAATACTACTACCAGTGTTAGTGTGTACTGAGGGCTTGGAAGAAACCTTCTGTGGTTCCTTGGTAGCCTTTTTGTCCTTGGACTTTGATCTGGATGCCGAAGACATCTCCTCGAAATCAAATTGCTACAGTATTTGCAACGTTTATTGTTATAAAACCTGCAATGTTCAAATTACATCTTATTTTTTAGTTATTGAGAAATGAAAGTGTAAAATCAAATAACGCACATATCCAGTGATGTTTAAGATAATGACTCCATTCTGGATAACAATTTAAGCCTCCTACTCAGTTCCTCACCATTGCATCCCGACTCAAAACCATATATGCATCATACATAAATACATTATAATAACTCTGTGATGTTAATGGGTCAAATTCCACAGGATCAATACAATGGGAATACAGCATTGCATGTGTGCATTTGCAAAAGAGAAAAAGCATTGCTACTTAAATCAACAGTTGTTAACCAAAAAAGCAGCTTATAATTCTAAAAGGCAAAAAAAAAAAATTATATATTTATTTTTTGACAAGTAAAAAGTAAAAAGAAAAAAGAATTTATTGATACCTAAATACTGAAAAAACAAACAAACCTGGGCAAGTATAGTTAATCATCAGGATCAGACAATGAACATAAGCTGCACTCCAACAGACTGTGTTCTTCCAACTATTCAATCTGTTCTTGTTATCTAATCTTTCTGGAAATACAGCTTAAATGAAGTTTCATATTTTTCATTATTTAATTACTTTGGAACGGGGGTAAAGAAGAAGTGTAGTCCTTGCAGGGTTCTGGTCAATTTGCCATCATATTTCGCTTCTTTGTATATCATACTTGCTCGTACAGTCTAGAAGAAGGAAGAAGTGTTTGGGGAATGATTTAACCTAACACTTTTGGTTCGACGGCTTCTCAAAATTGCCAAAGTCCTGCTATAATTCTGCAATGTCTTGTATGGTTTTTTACTTGGTGTCTCATTCTGGTGGAAACCATAGACTTTGTTAATAATTTATTTTTGGACTTAGAAGAGGGAGGAGGAGGAGGAGGAGGAGGAGGAGGAGAAGAAAAAGGAGGGGGGGTTGGAATTTACAGAAGGGGGAAAAAAAAAAAAGGGTGGGGAATTCCATTGTAAACCAAGACCATCATCTGGAGTTGATTCCAGAAGAGTTTAAAAGTTCATTAAGCATACTGCATAGCTTCTACTTATCAAAAGAAACCATACTACATAGCTTCCAATGGTTTATATCATGTTCAGTTTCATTACCTATATTTTTTTTATAAGTACGTTCAGTTTATAAGTATGTTCAATTTCAGTACCTTAGAATCTTACATGTGTACATCATATGTTCAGTTTCTGTACCTTAGGATCTAGAACGTAAATATTTTTATGGCTTCTATCTCCCGCTAGGGCTACTACAATAATCCATGATACTTCATAAACTGTTCATATTGGCATATGCTACAACAGTCTCAATACAAAATATAAATAAATAAAAATATATACTGCATTTAAGCATCAGGAAGTGTTCCCTTTTGGGGGAAAACAAATTATCATTCTTTTTTGCCTTTTTAAAGGGACTGTTTCTCTTTTCCTTCCCCCCAACCCCCAAAATCAAGTAAAGGGAAGCCCAACCAATTTTGAGAAAAACCCATTTCTGATCCCACTCATAATTTGAGCTCTGCAATGGTCAGAGAATATCAGCGATTTGAGAAATTGCTGAGGTAGAAAATATTTACAATCAGATTCCAAATTGACCACTGAGAAGAGAGAAGGAACAATAAAACTGAGATCTCATAAGCTGAATTTTAAGTGCCTAAGTTTTTAAGTGGTAATTAAAAAAGATATGCTTTTATATTTTTTTGAATTTTCAGCGTTAAGCATTCAGGGTCTGTCACTTAAATTTTCATCCCATTTTAAGTGGCGCTTACCGTTTTCAGTGATACTTAAATTGCGTTATCAAACACGCTTAATTGGATAAACACTTAATCCGTTCAGCATTAAGCGTTTAATTGAGTTATAAACAACACCTACGAGGAGCATGGATAATTCTAAACAATAAATTGACTAAAGGAACAGGTATACAAATTTCTCCAATAGCAAAAGAAAATGTGAATAATGTTGACGCATGGAATTAATTAAGTAATTCTATTAAGTGAAGAAATCCCTTAGCAAATATATTGACCACAAGGTCAACGTGATCTGCCAAGGGAATTAATTGAGAAGAATTAAAATGCAGAACGAAAGATTGACAATCTTTAACAAAAGGATTATAGACTTAGCTTTAAGAACCTCACTTTATCATTTTTTTATAGAAGATTCAGCACTTTACTCTATAAATTAATACATCAGTTACAACAGAGATCGACTATAATATTAAAATGCAATGGTAATAAAGAAATACTGAAAGTATGTTTATTAGAAGGAAAAAAAAATCAGGTGCAAAAGCTGAAATTGTAAATGGCATGCAATCCTTGAAGATATCACGACGTCACTTTGTCTCTGTCCGAATCCATCTCAAATTATTCAGTACCAGTTCTAATCACAACATAGAATAACAGCCCCCTTGGGAATCTCAGATTAGGAAACAAGCAGTTATGGTTCAAAGTTTTCTTTCTGGAAAAGTTCTGGTCAGCTAAAGAAATGGAAGAAAACATAACAGTAAACATAGCAGGAAACAAAAGAAAACCTTTTTTCAGGTCAACAGGGCTTAGTAACTAGTTTTGTTCCAAACTTTGGGTCCCTATTTTAATTTTATCTTTTGATTATATTTCAAAAGCTAGGTTAGTTAGACGAGTTACCTCTTCAAGGGAAAAAGTGAAATTGAAAGCTACAACAGAGACAGAGATCAGGAGGAGGGGGGGGGCGCTTATGATTCATATGCATTCATGATTTAACCACACTAGGAGTTTTCAAAAAAACATGTTTTGGTTCATAAAATTTACTTTTAAAATGCATAAAATTGTTGAAGTTGTAATTTTCGAAATCCAACACAACTGATCAATAGAAGGCTACTGGAGTAATTTCGAAAGATCAAAATTGACTTCGACCAAGTGAAACTTGAAATGAGAAGTATCCAAATAGGATTCAAACTCTTTCAACCTTAATCCTTCTATGCTTCTATCTCTATATAGACATCTTATGGTTTCAGAAAAACCTAACACATCTATGTACAAGGATAACGTAACTCAAGCATATACAATCATATTGAGTGCATTCAAGCATTTCAATTGTTATAGTTCTCTTCGTTTTTGTATTCATCATCATATACTTAAATGGCGAGTGTATGACTTATGCTATGTTTGGTTGGGAGGGAGGAAGGATTGAGGAGGGATGGATGAGAGGGGGGATAAAAGAAAAGTCTCCGTGTTTGGTTGGAGGGAAGGGAAGAGAGGGAGGAAGCAAAAAGGGATGAAGCATCCCTCCTTGCTTCACATGTTTCTATCCGCCGAAATTTGGGAGGAAGAGAGAGAATAATGAAAAGTACCAATATTTTTCTTAATTTACATTTTTAACCTTCCCAAACCCAGTGAGATGTCAATAATGAGGGTATATTGGTAAAAATAATATAAAAACCCTCATTCCATTCCTTCCAACCAAACATAAAAAAATAAAAAATAAAAAGCGTCATCACCTCTATCCTTTCTCTTATCCATTCCATCCAACCAAACAAAAAGTGAGGGAGACAAATTCCCTTCCCCAGGGATGCATCATCCATCCCTCACCCTCCCCCTTCCATCTATTTTTCCATCCCTCCAACCAAACGGAGCATTAGTGTTGATCATCACACAATCCAAGTACTCCAAAAATTCTTCCACAATAGAAACATCTACACACAACTATGAAGAACAAACTATACTAGCCATTGTAATCATTGTGCTAAAGAAGCAGCAGATTGCATTGGGATTCTTGACCTGCTTGCACTAGGCCACATATTTTTTCCCCATCAATGTAAAAAGCAATTCCATGTGTGGATGATCTATTTATTGCTTGCTTTATATTTGCATTGTGAATGATTTTTACTAGCTTAATTGTTAGTTGAAATTCAAATTTTCATTATACATGGTTTTAAATTCATGTTAAAGTCCATTTAGCAACACCTATTCACACCCCTCTAGTTCTTATAGACTGGGACATTGTACTCAACTATCAGAGCCTAGGGTTACGATCTATAATCCTTCAATTTTCAAAACAGAAAGAATTTAAGTGCAGCGTAGAAGCACGCAAGTTTTTGTAGCGCTACTAATACATTTGATAATGGATCCTTAACTTCTTTTATCAGCCAAGGAAAAAAGAAGTTAAGGACGCAAGCACGTAAGCCCAATAGCCTGTGAATTGAATTTATGCAAGCCAATACAAACGAAACACATGTTGCCGAAAATATGCAAAATCAGAGAAGAACCAGGAATACGCTCCAAAATTCAGGAAAACAAGAACTCTCGAATGCAAAATGCATAATAATATAGTAGTATGAAATATCTAGGAACTGAGAAAGGGTATGTAAAACATAAGTCTATAACCGAACACATAAAATATATATAACTTGTTCATAGTTTCACACGGTCAATAATTATTATACTTTAGAATCCTAATAAAAGTGTTATAACATTCAGTCTCGTAAAATATATTTAAGGGTGGGTAAGGATGCTGATCTGGGTTTTTTGAGAGGTTTCAGGGTGGGTAGGGATGCTGCTAGTCAATTGGAGATCTCTCATTTGATGTTTGCAGATGACAAGTTAGTTTTAGTGATGCAGATGTCTTAAATGAGATACTTGAGATGTGTTTTGATTTGGTTTCAAGTTGTTTAGGGCTTAAAGGTGAACGTGGGAAAGAGTGTAGTTGGGGAGGTTCCTGAGATTTTCACTCTTGCTCATATTATAGGGTGCAGTATTGGCTCTTTCCCCATTTCTCATCTGGGGCTCCCTCTTGGGGTTTCATCCAGGAGGGAGAGAAGTTGGGAGGTTGAGAAGTTTGAGAAGAGGTTGGTTGGATGGAGAAGCAATATCTCTCTAAACAGGGGAGGGTCACTCTAATAAAGAGCACTCTATCGAGCCTTCCTACTTATTTCCTTTCTTTATTCCAGATTCCCATTTCTGTGGCTGAGGGGGTTGAGAGGTTGCAGCAGAACATTCCATGGGATTATATGGGGGAGGAATTCAAGCTCCATT